ACGCGGCATGACGACTGCCGCCCTTTAAGTCAGTTGTTTAAGTCGAGTGAGGGATATTATACCACACGATGTCTCAGTTCGGATGAGAGAAGACTTATCCAGTATTTAGGTACAAAGAAGAAAAGCTCAATCTGTGTTATAGTAATCTCACGCGCAGGCTGATATATCATTCAAGAATCTACAAGACGAGGAAGCGCAACCTAGATATTCACGAAACGTGATACGTGATGACGACGCGAGTTCCACGCGCGCGTAGGTCGAACTCAAATGACGTCACAGAAGACAGTGAACGCTTGTGATGCTTCAACAGCATAAACAAAAATGGTGGAGCTTACGCCGTACTCAAACACGCTTAATAATGCTTAGTATGACACGAGGAAAACGACTTGAGAAGAAAAAAATAAAACCTTTGTCTTGTGAGTCTATGGTCATCTCGCTATTCGCGAGACTTCGAAATGGGAGCTTCACGGCATACTACGTCAATTGGAAAATAATCACCAACATAGCGTCGTTAAGGTAGAATGCCCAGAACTTATTCATTTTCCAATAAACTGTATTTTCGAGCAATATAATGATATTCATTTCAAACAGTTGGCGTCACCGGTTCAATTTTTGAGAAAATGATGGTTGTATTTTAGTGGATAGTGGCCATTTTGGTAGTATTACAGTACTTTTACCGTATGTTTCTAGGGCAGAGAAAACATATAATATCTTAAATTGTAGGCTGGTGACATAGGCTGAATGTAGGATACTTTTTGTTGTTCATTATTATTTAAAAAATCGGGGTTTTAAAAAGTGACAAAAATGTTATTTTCTTTTTCTAAAAATAACGATTTATGAAGTTTCTCAAACTACGTCACCGTAACACACAAAAGAATGATATTTCATGGTAATTGTGCCTTTTGTTATTGAGCAATTTCTGAAAATATTCTGCAATATAAAAAAAAGACACGACTAGGCGGGAATAAACTTCACTTGAATGTGGTGTTTTGGTGCGAAACAATATAGTCTGCAATTGTGATCACGTGTCTGCAAAGTCGAGCTCCATGAAAATCTTCGAATTGCGCATTGGCTTCGGGCTCATTCTTTGACCTCGACCTTAAACAGGAATAGGCAAATTGGTACACTGCACTAACTGATCCAGAAAACTCAGTAATAATAATATGAGGCCATTGCAAGGATACTGCACAGTTTCGGCTGACGCGCAGCGGAGTTCGATTCGACCGCGTACTGTCTGAGTGCATACTTTACAGTATCCTCGTAATAACCTTTTGTATTATACATCTTTTGCTCCCAGAAATGCATCAATGCACTAATGCCGAAATCCTAAATGTTTAGAACAGATTTAGCGAACTTCTTTGTGTGGGGTACGGTCAAACCCCCGGGGGAAGCCATATTTGGAATTCACATTTCTTAATATGGTAGGATGAAAATATCTAGTGCAATAAACGCAAACTTACGGCATGCTGCAACTTATGGCGTTACGGTGACAGATGTATAATAACAATAATGAAATTGGTGTAGCTGTGTAGTAGGTGTAGTTAACAGGCAGTGCTTGATAATATAGAAACACATTTACTATTGTTGAAACACTTAGTATACAATATAAGGTACGTTGAAGCCAGATATCAAATGATGACAAACAGAACCCGTACCAAATAAGATGGCAATCCTATACGGTGATAAAAATGTCTAGGTATGACTAGACAGACATCATGTCAGAGGTATGACACTAGACAAGGAAATCAGATCACACATACACATGAGAAAGAGTGTTTCGAAGTATGGTACAGAGACAGCAGATGACACAACAGATGATAACAGAATGACATAAATATGAAATCCAGCCAAGTTCAAAAGGGACACATTTTATTTATTTATTTATTTATTTATTTATTTATTTATTTATTTATTTATTTATTTATTTATTTATTTATTTATTTATTTATTTATTTATTTATTTATTTATTTATTGTCTGTTTGTTTGTTTGTTTGTTTGTTTATCTACTTATTTGTACGTGATATTTATTTCTTTTATATCTGTAAGACGACCTATTACAACATTTACACAATAAACATATTGTTAGGACAAGAAAAAGATGTACTAAATGTTTGACATGGTTTCTATGCTACGTATACAACGCGAGTAAAATACTTTGCATGAAATTCGAACTCGAGTTGCGAGACAACTATGGCACAATTCATGAAACCTACTAGCCCAAAAGAAGCGGGAGTCATGTACAAAAGTGAGATAGATGGCTTAAACTTGACAAAAAGTGCATGTTATAATTTTAACATACTGTGAGCGTGAAATCAAATGTGAATGGCCAAGAATACACACGACAGGAACTGAGGGAGGTGACCACGATGCAACAATAATAATGTATCAGCTTATTGAACAGAGAGATGACAATCAGTAAAGCTACGTTCTCATATTTCTTTTTGTGCATTACCTTTCTAGCACACGCTATGATATACTCTCTCAAATGTATTTTGTGTGTATGTGTGTGTGCGTGCCGAAAGCGATGAAGAAAATGTGTGTTTAATGTTTTACAAGAGATAGATGCCGACCGCGGTACGTGAGATGTTCCGTATGAGATTGTATTTCATGATTTCACCGATGTAGGTTAGCGAGGGTATAAGTCGATAAACGCACACTAGAAGACCACCACATCCAAAATGCCACGTATGTAGTATAAACTATTATACTGCAATGTTCTTCTGTTTAATAATAGTTTAAATATTAAAAATTCATTTTCATACAATATTGTCGTTCTTAATCTATGTATCGCTAAGAATAACAAATAAGTATTACGATGTTCCTGGTTACCATGGTGATGATGTGTATTCAATTACATCTAGGCCATTTTGTGTTGTTGCTTTTTGTTTTTTAGTTTTGTTTTTTCTGTATTTTGTTACTCAGATGGCAAGTCACGTGCTGAATATTTCGATAAAATTATCATTTTTGTCACGTACAATCAATCGGTCGGTCGTTCGTTTGTCAGAATATCATGAACTCCAATAAGAAATGACGTCAACGTCTGCACATCGAAGTACAGCTAGCGTGAAACAACGTCGCAAATCACCACCTCTTTATGGAACATGATGTCGTGAACTCCGCCGTATTTATGACACTTGGTCGTTACTCCGTTACTCCGAAAACCTTGGTAATATACGCGTACATTTCATCTTGTCACACCTGAAACGCACACATGCATGACAATATAACGTCGGGTTTTTCACACTGTGAAAATGCTGTATAGGTATGCTCACTTCCCGTGCTGAAACAAGTAAATCATCAATTCCTACAATATATAAGTCTAAGTTTAGTAGTATAGTTCCGCTTTTGATAACACATATTTTAAGAGGTATGCAAGCGTCGCTACGTAATGCTTATATAGTGCTAACTTTGACTATAAACGGAATGTTTGTACAATGTATTTAGTCACACAAGAAAATACAGGCAATCTGGGGGATTATACGTTGTTTTTTAATTTTCAAATGTAACTGCGCATGCGCTGTAAATTCATAGTACGTAGCGGTAATTCTCAACGCCCGTATGCATTTGTATGCATATTTAATCAACAGAACTTTTTGTGCGTGCGTCCAAAACAGTGCAACAATGGGCAAGATTGAACTAAACTAATAAGACTTGTCAGTGAATACTTGGCGGCTAGCAATCAAACTCGCAATTTTAATCAGTTATACCCCTTCGCTTCATCAATTCTACGGAATAAACGGATTAATTATTGATGTATACATACAATTGTTGCTGTGTTTTGCAATGCACGTTTGTTTGTCCGCATATACTCGCTTTGAAATTGACATAAAATCTAAAAAAGATCCAATATCGTTCTCATAAAACAGGTGTCTGTGTCGTCTGCACATAGGTATTTACGCGCCAAACATACAATACAGACACGTATTCTGCCGAAGATTATTTTAGCAGGTGACTACTCTGGTATTGCTGTCAACTCAATGGCTTATCTGGAACGAACGCGAGGGATCTCTTAACAAACATTTCGACTTATATATTACTCTGGCTGATGTTAGAATTAGGAACAAAATAATTGTGTTTTCTTCTTACATGTTTTGAGGAGAATAAATGTCACCGATGGTTGAATATATTGACAGTTGTTTTAATTGACTATAGAAAGAACTACATGCAAGTTGAATGTCAAGGTAATATGTAGATAGAAGATGGATACCCGGGGATGAGTAACTATAACATCTTTTACATTCGCACACCGTTCTGTGAATGTATAGACGCGCTAGTCTAAGACTACGTGTCTGTTTCCTGAATCTATCAGCGCGTGGCGCAGAGGTAAGAGTGTTCGCCTTTCTATGGGTGGAATCCCCATCAGCCGATTGCGGTGTACAGCAGTGCGTTCTGCCTAGTGGTGGACCGCGTTCAAACACGCAGTATCAGGTTTGAATGAATGGTGTTGTATTGAATGAGTTCGATATTAAAATTTGCTCTTCCAGTCAGCAGAGCACGTTTATCTGTAAGAGTAGCCGATTACCGCGAGATTATTGAGTCCTTTCACTCGTATTAGCCCTCGCAATAACAGTGCGATAACTCGGTCTGGCTTCAAGATCAGCATTTGGGTTCGATGCCCGGCCATGATCTGGGTAACTTATAGATAAGGCAACAACAAGAACATTGCTTTTAGTAGCCACGTCATCAGCTGATTAGTGGTGTAAACTTGGTGTTATCATCTTTGCCCTAAGTTAGCATCCTAATAACTTACTATAGTTGTCACGAAGGTGTTGACAGCTTTTCTAAAACGTATAAAACATTCACCATGGACGATCCTCGCGTTACATTCAACTCCAAAGAAAAATTAGCCAAGACGTAATTTACCCATCATTCTTCCTGTAGTTCACGATCGACGTTTGAAGAATACAGATCTCATCATATATATATTCAAAACACTTATCAACTAAATTGTTCGCACTTATATATATTTCTTATAGTATAAATAGTATCGTCACGTTACCTTAGTTGGCATATTGATTTTCCGCTAGCAGGAATACTGTCGGGATAGACTAGAGACCAAAGATCGCACTGACCATTGAGGAATTCGATACTGACGGTATTCATCCGACGGGGCGTTGTGATTGGTCAAAAAAGTTCGAATGCCATTTCAGGGTTTATGTTTATTATCTATCAAAATCATCGGTGCGATATTGCGTATTATTGTTCTCGAAATGTGACACACTGCGAGTAACGAGTGCATCTCGACAACAGCTGTGATGCGATGCCTAGACACGCGCCGCTTAGTTTGAACATTAAAAAACATTTCCTGAAATTGGAACTGAAACTGCAACAGAACACCATGTACTGCTCTCTGGTGCATAGATGTACTGTTGTTGTTGGAAATGTGACGCAAAAACATATATCAATCAAACGACAACGTTAGCACTGCGCATGCGCCGACACTACAACTGTGAGGTCAACCACCGGTCAGTTCTATTAATATTTTATTGCTGAGCATTGTCAATGTCAATGAGTATTGAACTTTTGGCATGACATTTAACGTTGAACTTGAACAAATGGCATAGACATGACCTTCACCCCGTGCATAGTCAGTAGATGTTATTCAACTTACACAGTGCATGTCTCGTTTCTTCAAAACTACTGGGATTTAATAAAACATTCTGAACATGTTCAACCTGTCAATGCATTGCCATTAAAAACGCGCCAAATGCTGTTTGTTCTTCATTTTCAATTTTAATTATCTCATTAATTATGCATTAATGAGGTAGCTTGATGTCAGCTCATTAATTATGCAGTCACGGCCAAATACGATATCAGTTAATTAGTTATGCAAATGAGCTTGTAACATATTATTACCAAACGCTTCAGCGTGGTATTAAGAGTTTGTTTTCAGGGGTGGGTGATACCAAGGTGGGAAATGGATGCACATAAGGGGTTAATTCCTTGAATTGCAATATAGAGGGTTCAGGCCGAAATACAATATATAGTGTTTTCATGTTTCGTCTGATATTTCTGTGGTATTCTGCTGCTGTAAGTAATGCACGATTTGTTCCGAAAATTCAGTATTTTGTGTGCATTCCAGGGTTATTCGTTGTTTGCTGAAAACACCCCTATTTTTTAATGGCAGAGT